GGGGCACACCAAACGCTGGCAGGGGCGGTCTCCCAGGGGCTTCCGGAGGCCCCGCCATGGCCTATCCAAGCTCCCAGCCATGGTCTCCCAGGGGCTTCCGGAGGCCCTGCCATGGCCTATCAAGGACTGGCTCCTTGCAGCTGCCCTTCCCCCAGACTGGCTCCTCCCACAGTGGGGCCTCACTAATCCTGGGTGTGTGTTGTTTTGATTGCAGCAGACAGGGAAGTGGGGTTGGGCCCAGCTTAGCCAATAGAAAGCAGAATACTACCACCCAGCTGCCCCCACTCCGGTGCACTGGGCACATGTGAAACCAGACAGGGACGCAGCCTCTGCTTCCTTCCCCTGGGAGACCACAGGGCCAAAAGCCTTCATCTCAGCTTCCCCATTGGCGCAGGAGGAGCTTAGGGCCACCTTCTCTTGGAGCTATGGCACAGTGCACAAACCATGGGGCCTCAGCGCCCAGAAGTGAGGTGCTAACTTCACCCTGAGTCCTTCAAGGAGCCCCAAGGAGCTTCCTGGTGTGAAGATGTAGTAAAAATCTCTTGCCACCTGTGGGCCCTTAGGCTGGACACCAGGAAGTCCTCCCAGAGCACTGCGTAGCCAGGCCACTCACTGACCCCCTGGCTAGGACTTCAAAGAGTACCACCAGTCCTACAAGAGTCTGCAGGCCCAGCTTCACCAGGCTAGAATACACAGTCTCAGAGGGGAATCCCCGGGCTCCTGAGGTCACATGGAGCTAAACCCAGGAAGCAATGAAACCGGGCCTCTTAGTGGACTTTCTGGGGTGACCAGTTAGCATTTACCATCCTGCAAGGTGCCCTCAGCTCCAGGAGTGAACACAGTGGTTAGGAACAGAGAGTTTACGTGGGGCAGGATCAGAGACCCACACACGGGCCACAGAGGGAGAAATGGCTGCTACACGCCGCTCTACCCAAGGCTGTAGGCGACTCAGGGCCTCCAGCTATGGGGAGGAGAGAAAATTCGGACTTATCTGAAGAGATCAGTACCGGGAGGCGCTGTGGAAGGCCCCACTCTCTGACTACCCCTACCTGGCAGTGCAGAAGCCTGTTGGCATACAGATCAGCCCTGGGACAGAAGTGTAGGGCAGCCCCCCATGTGGATAGAAGACCACCTAGGGCTCTGGGAAACTGGCAGGGGCTGGGGGCCACGCCCACCAGAGGGTGCCTGGGTCCAGCCTGTGGTGACCTGCCAAGGAACTTTGAGGTCAGACACTGCAGTGGCAATCTGCCTCCACGTGCTGGTTGCCTTTTAGCCTCCCATATTCCGAAGGCTAAACAGTTCTTTAAATATTTGAACACCCTGTGCTGCCTGAGAAAGAATTATACAGCCTAGTTTATTTTTTTATCTACTACTGATAAATGACTTTTATCTTATTTGTTACTTTATCTGTTCCTATCCTAGGTGAAGCTGGGAGCCTCGGAGAGGCCACACCAGGGTCCTTGCCCTTGGGGAGCCCACAGACCAGCTGCCCACCCTACACCCCCTCCTGCCTCTAGAGAGCAACCGCCAACTCTCCACCCCATATCTCAGAACCCCAAAGTCAGGCTGTCACAAGATGCCTCCTCTGTCTCCCCTACCAGGATGAGGGGAAACTGAGGTCCAGGGAAATACCTGTGTCCCTAGGCACAGACTGGCCCTGTTCTAAAAGGGTTCGCTGTGAGGGGTGGAGGGCAGAGGTTTCCAGGGACAATAGACTGCTTGTTCCCCTCACCACCAATCAACCTCGGTATCCATGACCGCAGGCCGGCCCTAAGGGACGTCCAACGCCTAATCGGACATCACTTCAATATCTCTGAGGCCAGGTGCCCTGGGAACAGGGAAGAATGTGGCATCCAGCCAGCACCACGTGGCTGCCTCAGCGGGAGGCATGGGGTCACAAGGAACAGTGACAGAGCCACAGTCAAGTCAGCTACTGCAAGTTAGGGCTTTGACTTGGAAAGCGCCACACATGCTGGGCACCCAGGAGACCCACAATTGGTCTGTGAGAGCCAAGAGTCACCAGACACACACTTCAGGGTCCCACTCACAAGAGGTCCCAGGAGTCACCAGATTCCCAGAGACAGAAGGCAGGATGGAGGTGCTGGGGCTGGGAATGGTTTCGGGCTGGGAAGATGGAGAGTTATGGAGGTGGATGGTGGGGCTGGCTGTATACACTGTAAGCAAGTTTCACACTGCCAAGCTGTGTACACAGACATGATCAACATGTGTGCCTCACCACAACTAAAATATACTTTAGGAAGAAAACCAAGCAAATAACTTTGACAATGGAACTGGGCAATGGAGCTGGCAAAGGGAAATGGAGCTGGGCAAACACATTGCACCTAAAGCCAGCAGCGTTCAAAGGCTCCCTGGGGACCGCCTTCCTCAGGCTGATAAAGGGGCAGGGGCCTTGTTAAGCTGAACTATAAAACCCCAGGCACCACAAGGCTTTGACTGTATAACTTCCACAGATTAAATATTGATGCTTGAACTCCAAGCAATGTCTAGGAGAGTCTGTCACTGCTCCCCAGTGAGTCACTGGAAGATTCCGAACCGCCCCTAACACATACTGCCTGGGAAGGGAAGTCTGGAGAACGACCTTTTGCTTAACTCACTGTCCACTCACTGCACATCCCCATCTTTGCCTGGACCCCTAGCTATCTGGCTCCAGGTTGGAGAGGG